AGCTGCAAATACGTTTATCGAAAAAAAGGTTGCACAGAAAACTGGAAACATTCTGTGGGTTCACTGAATAATTTTCAATATGGCGTCGTTTCATGTTTCGTGGGACACGCGGGTGGCAGCGGACGACGGGCGTGGGACCTCTACTTCAAAATTGTCGTTCACGGCACCGGTGAACTCTGTCTTTCTTCGAAAGAAAAATTTTAAACCGATTAAAAGAATTGATATTCATCCCGTACGACACGCCCGACCAGCAAGCCGATTGCACGAAGACGTCGCCGAGCCGTCGTCCCTTCTCGTGGCTGAAGACATCGCTCGCTCAAACGTCAAGCACGAAGTGCGTACTTGGAGTTGAATACGCACGCGTACGGTTTCTTTACTAGGTGCGGATGTGGCCAATTCGTGGTGCTGCCCGACTTCAAGCCGGCAGTGCATGTACACGGGGGAAATCGCCAGCAAACTTTCCAGACATACAGTCGACCGACTGCATTACTACAAACGAAGGAGTTCCTTCAGTAGCTCAGTGGAAAGACGTCCGCTTCACACGCAGCGGGCACGGGCTCAATTCCTAATGTGGGCGTACCATTTCTTTTTTCCGAACAATTTGCGATGTTTACATTTTTTGTGCAATTATTACTGAAAAAAGCAATTGTTGTGGACGATACGTCGCTGAACTAAATCGAATGGGATTTCATGTTTGACGCCTCTACCGCACAATGCCATTTTCAGATGCAGGACATGTGAGGCAGCTCTTCACGCAGCATCGTGGAAGTGTTCTTTTCGGAGCCGATTACGGGAATTAACCACGGGCACTCACGACTAATTGTCAGCAGTTAAAGGTGTACTCCGCCGATTTTTGAGCTACCTCAACTAACTATAGTTTCTGACTCCCAGGCCTTTACCCTTTCTGGAATGCTATTTAATATCGTGAAATTCATAATAGTTATTGCGAAATCGGCAAATGAAAATGATGCAAAAACAGACATTCAAATATACCCGCCCTTTTCAGGGCCGTGACGTCACTGGAAGTTCAGCTTGCCAGTCGGGCGAGTAGTCTAAAAAATAGAATATGCCAATTATTTGTTCCGTGCTGGAGCGCGGGGACTGGAGCGAGCTTCCAAAGCATTCATTTGACACCATGAAACTGCTTCGAATCAGTTGGGAACAAATTCTACAGTCCAAAGAGTGAACCCCTGCACTTCCAATGACGTCACTTTTTCATTGTTGCCAGTAGAGACTTTCAGTTTGAAAAACACGGTGAGGACCAAAATTGTAAATTCAATAACTTCGTGAAAAAAAATTATTTCGACCTAATATTTGGGATACTATTTTGGCGATGTTGTTTGGCGAGTTTAGCAAAATTTAAAGCAAATCGGGGACCATGAAGAAATCGGCGGAGTACACCTTTAAATGTGCAAAAGAACTCATCTTGACGTACAGAACAGCGAGCGGAATAAACATAAGTGCAAAGGAATCGCACGGCGAACGGATCTCGCAACGCATTTTGCCTGCTGCGCGCGAAAAAAAAAAATCGCGCGGTCGGGTGTAGCCACGCGACTTCCGCCACTCACTCTCTCCTCTCCACGTTTTCGTGCGGTGCGGCGGTTTCGGTTTCGAACAGTTGCGTTTTTTTACTTGATTGAAAAAGTACGTGACTCTGTGGCAAAATAATAATTCGGTAGTATTCCGAAACCATAATAAGTCGCCTGCCAAAAAATGAAAAAGAAAAATATGGGAGGTGTCAGTGTCCCTGTAATACTTCTACACGTTTGATACGGGCACCCGATGAATGTGGAGCGCAAGTTTGTCTGCTTCGTTTGCAGGGGTTGTGGTGACGTCAGAACGCCGAACGTATTTCCTCGCTGTCATAAATAGGCTTACGAGTTTCGGGACTTCTTACAAAAGCTTAAAATAACCAACCTTCCAGGCGAGACCCATTTATGGCTAGCGAATAATTTGCCTATCTGAATGGCGCGTTCAAATGTGTGGTCACGTGCTCGGTCGAACGGGCACCCGTATCGAACAAGCACCCGTATCAAACGGGCATCGTTTCAAACGGGTCCCGTTTCAAACCGGTACCCGCATCCCATAATCGCGTTTGATCCAAACGGATCGACAAGTTTGCCACCCGTTTGATTCAAACAGGTCGACCAGTTTGCCACCCATTTGAATTTCAAATGTTTTTTTTTTCTTTACAGTTGGGAGGAGGTAGTCCTCAAGGCAGCTCACTTTGAGGTTTGCCCACTATCCTTCAATCAGAGCCAACCAGATCTCTGCGTCTTTCTGGCGTTACCGCAACTCCTGCGCAAGAAGTATAGACGACCTGGTATCCGCATAGGAGTACCCGTTTGATGCGGGCACCCGTTTGACGCGGGCACCCGGTTGAATCGGGCACCCGTTTGAATCTGGCACCCATTTGATACGGGCACTGGCTTGATACGGGCACCCGTTTGGCCGGGCACCCGTTCAATACGGGTGTAGATTTGATACGGGTATCCGTTCGGTACGGCACCCTTTCCAACAGTCATCCACATACTGAAGCACATTCTAAGTTAGCCCCAAATGGGTGCGTTCTAAAATAGGCCCACCTATCACACACACAAACCCCAAACAACCCAGTTTTCTATTACCGAGAAGCACCGAATCTGTGGGGAAGAAAACACGTCTGAGGAATTTAAGACTGCTTACGTGTAGGAATGCGAATGGCATTATAGTCCGCGGGTGAAATGTTTTCGAGCAATGCTTCTACACATTTAAAAGTTGTTTCTGCCGGTATTGTATTCGGTAGCCGCCGTAGGTGTAGACGCTGCTGCCGATGTCGAGGCGTAGACGTGGTCGCCTCACGGTCCATCGTACGGAGCACACAACCAGCACAGATAAAGTCCAAAAAGCAAACTGACGCGCCGGAGGCAGCGCGCGACGTCTTCCTTTTGCACTCGACACTATGGCGGTGACATCACGCTCTCCCACTGCGCAGGCGCCCCGCCCCCACCGGTTTCGTGGTTTCCGTGACGAAGCATCTGCGTTGCTGTTCTTTTCTTTCTGTTTTATCTCTGAGGCGCGTTCGCTTTGATCTTGAGCTGCACGTTCTTGATGACGTATTTTTATGGTCATCTTTCGGGCACAACGTCGACGCCACCTTTTCTCGTAATGAAACTACAAACGATAGCGTTACGTGCTCAACAATTAAGAATGTTCCCAAAATAATGGTGGCATATTTTTTTACTTTCCCAATAAATCACTATTTATAAAGGCTTTCGGTCCACCGCTTTTTTTTTTACTTCAGTGCAGTAAATGTTCTTTTAAAATGTTAATTCGGGTTGTTAACTCGGTGACTGAAAAAATTCTTCGACAAATGTTGAGCTTTCCAACCAGATCTTTTTATTGTAGGTGATTTAGAACAAATCGAAAGCAACGTGAAGTGTAAAAGAGAAAAGCTAGTAAATATTGTTTCTTGCTAGCTGTGTTTCGTTTTTGTTTAAATTTACACGTGTAGCAAGACGACGAGTTAGAACAATATTGCGGCTTTCTAAAGTGATAGTGAAGTAAGAATTGATTGTGAGGGGTTAGTGTAAACTACGGCATATTATCAGTCTAATATGTTAGGGATGTGTTCAACTCCCACAATCCTGGATTGCATCTAGAGCAAATATTTATAGATAACTATATCAAGAATCAAGAATCAAGAATAGTTTTATATGTATATATATAATACATATATATATATATATATATATATATATAGTTTCTTCTATATATATATGTATATATATATATATATATATATATATATATATATATATATATATATATATATAGAAGAAAATAACCCTTAATGAAAACAGCAACAACGTCCTAAGGCCGAACTCCGGCCGAAAGGTCAAAGATTGAATCGTCCGTTGTTGCTGTTTTCACTAAGGGTTCTTTTCTTCTATACCCACGCCTTCGGCCCCCCGCCACCATGCCCGTTGTATATATATATATATATATATATATATATATATATATATATATATATATATATATATATATATATCGTTTTTATAGACATCGCATAATAATTAACGTAGCAACATATTGGGTCTTTGATGTTTTGTATCTGTTTTTTTTATTGTGAACACATCACCTAGCAATATGACTAAAACTATTTGAACAGGAAATAATTGAAATCATATTAGCTGACATGTTTTCGGCAATCACCCACTGATTTTGATGTTTGATTTTAGAATAGAATTCTTGGGTATCTCGGGGTGTCGGATATTTTCATCCTTACATTTCAATCTCTCGTTATTTTTATTTTTATTTATTTTGCATTAAAAGATTAAGCACCAATCAGTGAAATTAGTAAGAACATTGCCCGCGTGTTATATCATTCTTCGTCATTCACTAAATACTAATGTTTTTTTTTTTTTTTTTTTTTTTTGTGATTGATTTTTCTTTGCTTTTTATACTATCTAGAAAATTCTATTCTTGGGTCTCTCGAGGGCCCGAATATTGTTTTCCTAGTATTTTCATTTTTTTACGTTTATTTCTATTCCTTTTGCATTCAAAAGATCTTAGTGAAGTTAGGAAGAACGTTGTCCGCATGTATTGTAGTTCTGCGTCATTGACAAATGAGTGCCCATGAATATGTGTAGATGGGCGTATGAATTAATATGACCATGCTACGTTCAGCCCTGAGTACTTTTACTGTGGCGAAGCAATGGGACAGAGTCGATCTAGTGGTTATAAGGCTACCATGGTAGAACACCAAAGAGTTCGTCTGGTGTTTAGGCACTCGGATTCCAAGAGATATGTTGTTTCCTGGCGAACTGCCACAAGATCTAGTACATATTGCGTGAATCACATCGTTCCTTGACCTCTTAGGGGACACCATATATCTTTATCTTACCGTATGAAATAACAACCTGATTGTAGTTCCTACGGTATGCAGTAGTTCCATTTTTTTTTAAGCTAGAGTACATTACTAGATGAATCCCCGCACTGCTTGCAGGTGGCGTCGGAGGACATTCGCCGTATTCGAGGGCACGGGGATACGCGGCCCCGAGCCAAACCTCATCTCCGGCAACTTCTACCAGTTCTGGACGAAGGTATGTGCGGACGTTTTGCCTTTAGGCGGCTTCACCACAGTATCAGTGACAGTCTTGACGTAAAGCCTAAAAATATAAAGATTCCGGGAATCTAGGCTGTCTCGCACAGACCCCTTGAAATAAACCAAAAAATGCAAAAGCGATCGGCCAGTATACATCGTGTCAGCATTCGGAGGAGATCAGTCGACGCCACAAGCCATCCCAGCCAGTCTAATACCACGCGATTGTAACGTGACCTCCAGGAAGAGCAAAACGACGTGTGGGATGCGTAGTCATGTGATCATTTCACGGGATTATATTGTGTGTTCAATTGGATGGGATGGCTCGTAAGGTCCATTCTAGGAGGAAACAAAGTGTCGCTCCCTTTACGGCGCGTGCAGGACCTTTATATTGACAATTTCCGAATCTACGACAGCCCGAACTTGTTGCTTCAGTATACGCGTTGGACTTTCGAGCTCTTGTGCTGCCCACACACAGTTTACAAACTGGTCCGTGTTTGCCCCACACCAGGTGAGTGAATTGTGCAGGCGCAGAAGCGAGACTAGCGTTGAGTGAAGCGCCAGCGCGTGCGTCGTGGAGACACCAGCGCCGCCTCAGCGGAGTAACGTCACAGCCGCGCGTGGGTGTACAGCTGAGCCTCTACACTACTGAGACATGGCGCAAACGGCGTACTGTCGAGGACAATATGAGCTGAAACAGTCGTCCACGCTTCTTTGACATACCTGCCTGTGCTTGAGGGAGTTGCGGTCTGACCTAAGCTAAAAATGGGAAGTTAAAGTCCAATACATGGAACACTTTATCAAATCAAGAGATAATGCAGTTTGTGGGAACCGCTGACGCAGAAAAAATTACGATAGGCCGTTTGAGCTCACACTGTCGACCGAGGTACGCCCGACTATCCATACTCTGATTCAGCAAAAAAAGCTTTACAACGGGCAAAAACCGAAACCCGAGCGAGCCAATCCAAGCTTGAAAGCGAGGTACGGGACAACGTACCTTCAGGATGCACTCTTCCTGCGGAGAGCCGTCACGTGATTTTCTCCATCGTTTCAATCGGATCTCGGGAAACGTGTAATTCGACCTTCTGTCGACTTACACTGAAACGGAGTACCGTCAACGCACCAAGGCCGTAATGCTAGACAGTACGTTGTCTGCGGGAGGCCAGTGAGAAGCAGGGATTGGAGACGAGGGTTGCATCTGCTTTTCAGCTGGGACCGCTTTTTAAATCAGTAAGACCACGAGTTCAAAACTCAGGGCATATATCCGATTGGTTCCCCGCACTGGCCTTTGATTGGCGACGTAGAGATCACAGCACTTCGCCCTTGTAAATTTTTAAAAGTGTCTGTACAGTCTCCATTTCCACGAAAAACGTCTTCGGAGAAAGCCTTTACCTAACCCGAAAATGGATGCTTAGCAATCTAATGCCCCTTTCGTCTATTACTTCATTTCCATCTAAAATGGCTATTAGCCCACTTCGTGATGGTGGTCGTTTGGCCAGAGAGGAACCCATCTGCATAATAAGCCTATTTGAGAGAATATGACTCGTTTGCATACGTAGCTTCGTTTTCAACAAGCACGGTGCCACTTCGTGGGTACGAAGTAGTTTTGCTGAATAAAACGCCTTCAGTTTTCTTTCAATTTTTTTATTTACTTTTTGTGTGATTTTTTTTTTACACTGTTAGCGCAAACACGACAACTCGATTGTTCGCCTTTTACTATGAACGAACACTGATTACCGCCAAAGTTCAACGCTAAGAATAGCGCCCAAATTATGCACCTTCCGGTCAACTAGTACTCCTGGTGATATCCTTTTAATTGTAAAAAGAAAAAAGAAAATTCCAATCACTTTTTCTTGTTAACTGTGTCGCGCTATGTACACTGCGCGGCACTGTTAGTTAGCAAAATGTCGGTTACTGGTTCAAATGACTGTATTAATTTCTCGAACCAATTTTAAGCCGAATCGGTTACTCTAACCATTTTGCCGGGGAGAAGAGCGATTGTTTAAATGTGCTTAGATGATATTAGAGGGGCGATACAGCAATTGTAGTGCTTTCAATAAATACCGATTAGAATTATTCGTTCATATTAAGAAGTTATAAAGCCCGCGATAAATCTTTTTTTTTCTCTCTCTCTCCATACAACGGCAGTCGCAGAAAAAAAATATTTAAAATAGGCCAGCAGCGTTTACCGCCTCAACTTGAGATTAAAGCCGGTCACGAGATGTGAAGCCTATTATATTCCGCCGATGCTTATCATAGCCACGTGCTGGGATTGGCAAGGCACAGGGTTGGCAAGGCACACTGGAACGCGCTAAGTTCAACGTATTGCTTAAGTTCGGCTATTCCTGTCACCCCAGCGTTTGGGCCCGAGCCACTACTCGAATGCATGTCGGGCATTGATTTTCACGAGCCCAAATCGAATGCTTACGCAGTGCCCACATCTACTGCATGAGCCGAATTATTTAAATACCCTCTCCGCGGGGATCGCGAAACTTGATGACGGAATCCTGGGAATAGCCTGGTTGACAACGCCAACACTGCCATTCCCCACGATGTCGTCATCATGATTCTGCGGAGGAGAGACTGAAAGAAAACAATCGGTTTTGCCCTTGAAAATACGTGGCGATAAAGAAACTTCTTGGGCAGTGCAGGTGGGTTCGAGTAAACTTGGGCCCCACCAATGCCAGTGAGTTAACGTGCCATGGCACGGCTCCTGTAAAGAGTTGTTTCGGCCAGTGACGAGGAACCAATATACCTATCAATTTCTTTCTTAAATTTAGAGGGGAAACAGATTCGGTACATAGGTCATATAAGGTCAAATGAGGTCATTATCTCCTCTAGCTAAATTTAACGGCGAAACTAAGTTATGGCCAGGCCACGTGACACCAATATTTCTGCTAAATTTATCGGGGACACTGAGGATGTTTTGGTCACGTGGCATAAACTTCCTTTCTAGATTTAACGGGAAAACTGAATTTGTGTTAAGCCGGTGGCCCACTGCTTCTACGTCATACAAAAGACCGTTAGCATACATATTCAAATGCGAGTCACCGCGAGATCCGTGCTTCGAATATCGCGTGGCAATGAGTTCAAGGAGAAACTTTTCACTCGGCATTCGAAGCACAGATATTGGGATGACACGTGTATGCAGACTTTGTCCCGCGGCGTCAATATGCCCGCGAAATTTAGCGCGGGTTCTGAATTGGTGCATAAGTCACGTGATGTCAATTTCTCCGGTAAATTTCGCGGAGAAATTCCACGGACGGACAAATAGACAGACGGATAAAATATTTGACTTATTGGTTCGGATAAAAAAACATTTCACATTTTAATGCGTTCGAATGCAATTACGACAAATTACATATAAAGAAAGGGATCGATTTAACTCGCCGAAGATATCGAGTATAAAAAAAAATGCCCGTGTTTTCGCAGTACTTCGCCGTTGACAACGTTGAAATACGATACCTATACTCGTCTTCTATAGTATCTACTCCGATGATTAAATGGCAACGACCTCTACAGCGAGTAACGAAGCATCGTAGGCGCGCACATTTTCATTTAACTAAGATCGCGGTATATATAGATATGTTCTGCACGTCGCCGCTTTTGTATGGCTATCTTGTCTTCAGTCCCCTCGTTCATTTTGCGAGGCAATGCGAAGAATGCGGCTCATCCATTAAGCGACTCATCTCGCAACCCCACGCGCCCACGCGATAAGGAAAACGGGACATGAGAACCAGATGTTTTACCACAGTCGGGTGCCGAGTATAAACCTCTCTCGTCCACGTGCACGTACACGTACTTTACAGAACCGGTATGGCGTGAAGGAAGGAATAAAAAAAAAAGCGAGGCATTACAATCTGGAACAAGTAAAAGTGTAAACGGAAGGCAAAACAGAAATGATGGAGAGTCGCGATTAAAGCGTGAGCTTCTCCCAGCGGTGTAACGAGAGCAGAACGACGTTACCCTGCATACCGTAAGTTCCGCAATTCAAGAGGCGACGTCCAGGTGTAGAAAATGTCTATATTAGAATACGTTCTGCTCCCCCCCCCCCCCCCCCTCCCCTTCCCGCATTTGCACGGAACAGCGCGCCTACGGCACCAAATACTCCCCTAGTGGTGTGGGCAGCCCGTATCCGAGAGAACGCAAGCCCATCACGTTGTCACGCCTTCGTGCTGTGTTACAGGGAGACGGCTGCCGCCGACACCGTAAAAATATCTGATTCGCTGATACAGCAGAAACGGCCGTCTCCGCTGTCACGAAGACTGCCCACAGCGATAAGGTGGTGGCAGCCCATTCTCCCAATTCAAAAAGGAAAACCCCGAGGCCGCGCGCGTTTAGGCGTTCCAACTACGCAAAAGCTGTCGTCTCCAAGGCCGCTGGAGTTTCGCCGTCTGTTCCCTAGTAAATTATATTCAATAACCATCGCTTCACAAGTCTCCCCTTGACACAGCGATTCATTTCCCGGCTCAAATTTTTGCGGTCCTGGGTTCTATTTCTAATTGCAAATGTTCCGAAGTAATTGCTTTCTTGTCACTTCACCTATTTACCGCTTTCCCGAGCATGCATTTTACGTTACAGATCTGAATTTCCTAGGTAGTTTGCCCAAATAAAAGTTGTCCCGAAGAAAACAATGACTAACAAGCTCGGACGAAGGAAAGACATTTAATTTGTCCTTGCTGCCCTCGAAACTGTTGCCAAGAAAACAAGAGCACTTACAGAATGCCTCGCAGGTCCCCCTTCCTGATTAGATTAGCATAGTCAGAACGTTTGTTCTCGCTTGATTGCTTGCTCCTTTGTTTGCTTTCTCGATATTGTTTTCTTTTTATGCTCTTGTTGCCTTCTTTGTTCCTTTGCTTGCTTGCTTTCTTGGTTGCTAGTTTGCTTTTGTTCGTTTGTTTATTTATCCTAGGGTGACGGGGAAAAGGAGCTGTTGCTGTCACTTCCATTTTTAATCATCGCCAGCAAGCAGCGCGTAGCGCGCTCTTCGTGGCGCGCTTG